TGAGCAAAGTATTTGCTAGAAGTTAGTACTCCAACTGATAAGGTGGGATGACTACATAGTCTGAGCTCAGGTGTATGATGTAATCCTGGAAACCCTCAACAATGAAAGCTAGCCACTTCTAACGTCCTGCTTCCTTCCTCTGAGTGTAATGCATGAACTGCGCCACCTGTGAAAATTTCACTTGGTGGAAGATATAGATCACTTAGCACCCTGCTTCATCCTGAAGTGAGCCTACGTACCTAGTCATGTAAATGCAGGATTTTGTTTCTAGCAGGTGCGAAAACATACCGTTATATAACATGAGTGAGAGGTAGGACTGCAGTCTCAGAGTTGAAGGTGCTTCTGGGAACATTGAAAGACAATCGCTCGACATCCCACCTTCTTCCTGTCGGTGATACTTTTCTTTCACATACTATTATGTGTGGATGCTGTGGGACAACCGCGAGTGATTATACATCACTCTCAACACCTGCTTGCTGCCATTGATGAAACAGCTTTGCCAACTTTGCCGTCCGTCTGCCTAAGTTTTCATATACTGTACCACAACCTGTGTAAACATACACATAGAAAGCTATACTGTGTATACCAACTGTAGCAAATGTGAATCCAACATTTCAGCTGTTTTTTGCAAGTTTCCAACGAATTAAATTTCGTAAGGAACAGAAACAAACTGACCCTAAACTTTGAAGCTACACATCCATCACTTGCACTAGTAGCATTAGTAGAAACCTTATAAACACAGGGAACCAAGGTTACGACACTTTTTAAACCTGAAGATTGTGAAAAAGTTAGCACATACATCGCCTGCATGACTATAGGAACCCAGGGGGGACGGCTAGGAAAATTTTAACGTCCTTTCAGTCCTTTCAGTCCAAGTCACCGATCCGTCTGTATGCTTCAACTGAAAGTGGGACATTTTTGTTGGTAAACACCCATTTCTCCTGGTGAGTATAGTGCAGTGTCGGCCTCTGTTGGGTCAAAACACTGTGATAGAGTTTGTCCCTACTCAATAGCTTGCCACTTATACCCATGGCTTTGCGTCAAAATTTTAAAAGGTGCTTTGACTATGCAACGTGTAATTTATAGTTCATGTGCGGAATTTTGCCCCATCTCGCTCCAAACTTGGTTTTTCCCCCTACCTTGCTCGTAACTCCTGTCTTAACTCCTATCTCGCTCCCTAACTTTCGTAATTGCATGGAATTGAGCTCACCCAAAGCCATAGTATGGGGGGTAGTATCCTGTTGCCCGTAATAGATATTAGGCCAAGTTCAGTTACTGTAGAAGTATTATATTCGACGGAATTCTAGTTTTGTAAAAATGAGTCCACGGCACTGTTTCCTCACTGATAAAAACAGTCGATATATCTCTCAAATTTTGGGCAGATTTAAAGTTAGTCTTATAATCTTTCAATCAGCCGTTAAAAACTCTTTTATTACAGCCGTTAGTGATGAAACTTCCCCTTTATAATTGGTTTGCCATGATACAATCAACTATGTCAACACATGTACATATTTGTAGGATGAACCACCAGAAAGATTATACTTGTAGTGGTTAGGATGTAGCATGGAGGAAAGAGGCAGCTTCATTGGTTTTATTAACACAAAAAAGGAGATATCCTTATACCATATCAACCATAGTTCCCAGGTCTTCCATGCCCTGTGCTGTTTGTGTTGCCTTTGCCCTGTGCCAGGGCTTACCCTACATACTAGGGGAGGGGGAGTTTTCCCTGCTAAGTAAGTGAAACATCTGAATAAGGGACACCTTGGGGACATTGAAAGTGGCCTTTATTCTGAGGTTGTAGTATAATGTATTAGTATGGGGCAGAACCAAGTGTCCTTTATAGAGAGGTGTCTTTAATCAGAGGAACTATTGTATTAGTATGGGGCAGAACCAAGTGTCCTTTATAGAGAGGTGTCTTTAATCAGAGGAACTATTGTATTAGTATGGGGCAGAACAAAGTGTCCTTTATAGAGAGGTGTCCCTATTATAGTATGGGGCAGAAACCAAGTGTCCTTTAGAGAGGTGTCTTAATCAGAGGAACTATTGTATTAGTATGGGGCAGAACCAAGTGTCCTTTATAGAGAGGTGTCTTTAATCAGAGGAACTATTGTATTAGTATGGGGCAGAACAAAGTGTCCTTTATAGAGAGGTGTCCCTATGTATTAGTATGGGGCAGAACCAAGTGTCCTTTATAGAGAGGTGTCTTTAATCAGAGGAACTATTGTATTAGTATGGGGCAGAACCAAGTGTCCTTTATAGAGGGGTGTCTTTTCATCAGACGGTCCTTTATTCAGAGGTTTTCCACAGTATCCACACCACTGTACTGCAGGTTGGAGCGTTTGTGACTAGAAAGCGTTAGTCTTGCTGTGTTGTGTGTCATCATAATGTGTTGGTGTGGTTAGTGCAAATATAGCAGATAGTGGCGTTTCATGTTCCTGGACATTTCCTATAGTCCCTTCCTTTTAACCCTGTGTGTATATAATATATATATAAATATATATATTATATACATGTCTGGTTGTCTATGTGTAATACGAATAATGAAATGAAAGGGTGTCAACTTACATGCAATGTTTATTTGTTCCCAGATGTCAGGGTTTGGAGAAAATGGAAGTAGGAACGGCACTGGGGAGGACCAATCAGATTCGTGAGTTCAAGTCGCATGACATCATAATATGTAGTGAAATATTCATGTACATCCTTTAATTAGACGGTCTCCTTTACTGGCAAGCCCACCCATTGTCTGAATAGCGCTGTTTTTATTTGTACGTCATGTACACTGATGGTCTGAACTTTCGCGTACTCTCGCTTTGCTCTCATTGTAGTAAGACGCCCTTTGTTTGGAGTGACCATTATTAGCATAGTCGTGTGTACATTCATTGTCTGGAGTCAGGTGGTGTATCACATGATTGTCACGTGACTGTCACAGGTCTGAGCCACTCTCGACGGGGGCTCTAATTGGAATATGTGTCGGAGGGGGTGTGGTCTTGCTGACCGTTCTAATCACAGCTCTCTGTGTGGTGTGCTGCATTTGGAAGAGGCGGAGACAGAAGTCTGTGGTACGTACGCACTTCATTAAAATTGTCCTTTATATTGAGAGGTGTCCTTTATTCAGAGGTTAAGTAATACGCAGTATTTGCACAGCTAGGTTGAAACAAGTGTCCCTTCATGGAGAGGTGTCCTTTATTCAGAGGTTAAGTAATACGCAGTATTTGCACAGCTAGGCTTGAAACAAGTGCCCTTCATGGAGAGGTGTCCTTTATTCAGAGGTTAAGTAATACGCAGTATTTGCACAGCTAGGCTTGAAACAAGTGCCCTTCATGGAGAGGTGTCCTTTATTCAGAGGTTAAGTAATACGCAGTATTTGCACAGCTAGGCTTGAAACAAGTGTCCTTCATGGAGAGGTGTCCTTTATTCGAAGTGTCCTTGAAAATGGGTTCCACTATGTAAAGTAATGTGTGACGGTGAACAGGATCATCTTGCCCTATCCCCTCCCTCCTCTCCATCCCTCCTTCCCTCCTCTCCATCCCTCCTTCCCTCCTCTCCATCCCTCCTTCCCTCCTCTCCCTCCCTCCTCTTCCTCCCTACATCCTCTCCTTCCCTCCTCTCCCTCTTCTCCCCTCCTCTCCCTCCCTCCCTCTCTCCCTCCCTCGGCAGGCACTCTACGACCCGGAGGTGTACACGACAGACAACAAGCCCTCCCCTCCCTCCTCCCACCACAGCAGTATCTCCAGCGCCATGGCCGCTAGACTCCTCTCTACTGCCAGCTCTAAAGCCAAGAAGATCCCTCAGGTACAGTGAAAGATATATTACAGGCAACATACATACATAAAGCATTGATACACTATTCAACTTTGTTGCATGATACACGAGGTAAAGTCAACCCAGGACAGCTGTTTTTTCCAAGTACAGTAGCATGTGACATTGCCATGGCTTTTATGGTCGATGTCGGATTCAGCCATTGCGTCAATGGTACTGCTGTAGAGAGGTCACTCAGAGAGGTCACTCAGAGAGGTCACTCAGAGAGGTCACTCAGAGTGCGTATGTATGTGTAGTGGTGTATGCCATAAATAGCTATGTACACTGTTGAGATTGTGTCCAATTCACTTGGGACGGCATTATGTTTGTGGACAATTAACGTAGTTGCGAGCAAACGCAAGTGTGGAATTGTGCCCAACAAACATTTAAGAAGACTCGCTCCAAACTTTCGTCCTTTTCCCCTGTATTATCATTCCGAACTCTCGTCTTTCCCTCTATCTCGCTCTAACCTTTGTCTTTCCCCCTATATCGTTCTGATCCTCCCTCAGCCGAGAGATTCAGACCTCACGGCGGCCATATCTGCAGCTAGCAACAGCAACCCTCTCTACAACTCTTCCTCCATTGCCTACCTTCCTTCTGGGGCACAAGACGGGAAACAAAAGGTAAATACACACGGTGAAACCTCTGAGAAAGGACCCTCCAAAAAGCACACCTCTGAATAAAGGACACATTGGACACCTCTCTATAAAGGACACTTGGTTCTGCCCCATACTAATACATAGGGACACCTCTCTATAAAGGACACTTGGTTCTGCCCCATACTAATACATAGGGACACCTCTCTATAAAGGACACTTGGTTCTGCCCCATACTAATACATAGGGACACCTCTCTATAAAGGACACTTGGTTCTGCCCCATACTAATACATAGGGACACCTCTCTATAAAGGACACTTGGTTCTGCCCCATACTAATACATATTGGTGCATTAGTAGACCTAGTAGCATTCAATTGAAGGAACACATCTGAATAAATGACACTTTCAATGTCCCCAATGTGTCCCTTATTCAGAGATTTCACTGCATACTAACCTACATAATGACTCTTGCTAACAACAGTGATCGACTAAGGCACACTCTCATCTTCCACAGATGATCGCAGAGACACCATTGTCCGCTGAGGCCCCTCCCATTATCTCCGTCTCTTCGCGACGTCATTCCCTCGGTTATGTGGAGATGCAGTCGGCAGGCCCGGCTCGACCGGGGGGGATCCACGCCAGTCACAGCATGGAGAACTTCACCGACAGCACCAACTACTCATCGGTCAGGGACGGCACTGGTTTCAAACTACCTTTTGCCCCACCTTCCTAGTGAGTTTATGTCCTCTCTAGAACACAGGCGTTGCTTTCCTCAACTCGGCATCTAACTTACATGTTTATAGGTCCACGCATCAACCAATCAGATTGGGCTGTTTAAAAATAACAATGATTAGATCACGATTGTGTGATTCAGCCGATCTCTATTCTCCCAGCACTCCCCCCAGATCGTCCCCGCCCACCTCCTCCCTCCCCACCTCCCGTCACCACTATCTCCACCCCGACAGACCCCCCGCCCCCTCCCCCCCACACTCACACCCTCACACACCTCCCACCAAGAAACCAAAGCCAACGAAACGAGACGTCCAAGAAGAAGAAGATCGCGGCGGAGAAGACGATTACGTCGACCCAAAGCTATTTCTGGAGGACAAGGAGAGAGTTCAGGTACATATCCAAGGCAACAGCAAACATTTGCACTATATAGTACATGCATGTACTCAGTTTGGTGTCTTTGGTGGTTTAATTACCCCGGTCTGCTTACTAAATGAGAGTATACTGTGCCATAGCACAGTGGTTTGAGGTTTGCCTTGTGTTGTGTTGTGTTGTAGATTTGACCAGTTGAGTTGCCCTGGTAGCTCAGTTGGTAGAGCGCTCGCCTAGACTGCAGAGTGTCGTGGGTTCGAATCCCACCCAGGGCAACTCTTCTTGAAAAAGAAAGAGCTGTCCTGGTGTAGTTGACTTATTTGCTTTGCCTTTGCCTTTCTACCTTATTGTTGACACATGCAACATGTCACACGCAGAGGTATAATTTTAGCAACAAACAAGCTCAAGGATTTGCACTCTAATTCTCGAGTTAAGTGACACCAGATTTAACTAAGCAAGGGCTTTACTCACTGTACAGTAGTCAACAATCTTTTGCTGAGTGGAGAGCTGCAATGTTTAGAATGTTGCAAATTTTACAGGAGGAAGAAGATAGACCGGAGGATGAGTACGAGGAGATGAAAGATCAAACTGACTTCTTCTTCTCCATCTCTAACACAGCCTACCGCAACAGCACCATGAGTGAGAACTCTAATTACTTTTGCTTGTGGGTATACAGTATAACCTCTGAATAAGGGACACCTCTCTATAAAGGACACTTGGTTCTGCCCCATACTAATACACAGGGACACCTCTCTATAAAGGGCACTTGGTTCTGCCCCATACTAATACATAGGGACACCTCTCTATAAAGGGCACTTGGTTCTGCCCCATACTAATACATAGGGACACCTCTCTATAAAGGACACTTGGTTCTGCCCCATACTAATACATAGGGACACCTCTCTATAAAGGGCACTTGGTTCTGCCCCATACTAATACATAGGGACACCTCTCTATAAAGGACACTTGGTTCTGCCCCATACTAATACACAGGGACACCTCCGAATAAAGGACACTTGATAGCATATAAAACGGGAAACTTTCATTAATTAGAACACTGAAGATCCTGAATAGTGTCGTGAAGTTAATTGCTACTCTATTTATCTTCAATCAGGTGAGGACAATCCTACTGCTGACTCCGCCCACCAACCACACCCAGCAACTGACCACACCTCTTCCTCGCCCACCCAGCCATTGTACGGGAACATTCTTCCTCAAGACGAGGGGGAAGAAGGAGGGGGAGGACCCTACATTTCAGACAGTTACGAACCTGTCAACGAGTTCCTAGGCAACGCACCGGACACAAACGAGCGGGCCACTCTCCTAGCAACCACCGACGGTAGAAAAATCAGCAGAACCGCGCCGTCTACCCCTAGTAAACACGCTGGTAGTACTGTTTCGACAAAGACAAACAAGATCACCGCTCAAAATCTCTCCAGAGGGCTGAAGGAATCTTATTCGTTTGGTAGAAAACTGAGTATGGACGATCAGTACGTCGAGGTGATGTCACCCGTGAGAAAGACAAAGTCGTTAAAACCTCGTTCGGCTAGGGTTACTCACGACGACATCGATCTCGACGTGCCGGAACTGGAGTATGAGAACGTGATTCCCGGAACGACGATATGGGGGAATGAGAACGAGACCGAGAGTGCCGATAGTTTACACGCAACGGAGGTGCTCTCTGTGGGAGGTCAAGGGTCGTCGCCAGGGGAACGGGAGCAGAAAACAACCAAGAAATCTCCCTCCCCAACCCCCAAAGCAAAAACCAGCCCTAAACCGAAACCGAAGCCACACCCCTCCCAATTACCTCAGGGGAAACCTCGCAGCAAATCACATGACGCGGCTACCCACACTTCAACACAACCGCAAATGAGAATAGTAGTCGGAGGTCAAAGTTCATCTCAGGATAGGACTAGGCCACACTTCGAGGAAATGGTGTTCCCAACCCATCCCATTGCCAACGGAAACGTCGTTACCCATAGCAATGTTGCCATGGGCAACGGAGGTGTTGATAGTCGGTGGAGGTCAACGACTGTGCCAGTGGGAGGGAGTGAGGGTGGGGAGGGGGAGGAGGAGGAGGAGGGAGGGGAGATGTTGTATGTCAATGTGGGTGACAGTATTGTAGATGTTGGAGGAGAGGAACTGTATGAAAATGTCTCTAGTCATGATCATCTCACTTGATTGATTGCCAATGTATCTTTATACCTTGTTTTTGTCTGTTAATGGGTGTTTAATAGTGGTGAGCCCTCTAGTGATTGATTGTTAGTTCTCCTCATGCATGAAGAACTGGAAAAGGAATGGAGTACGAGAAGGAGGTGTATAGGTTAGACATAAACTAAACCGTGGTTGCCCAGGACGATATATATTATATAGCTTGATGCACATGATATCATTTGGGGGTGGGGTGGGGTGGGGAGGGATAACATCTATTCCCATGAGAACAATAATATTATTCATGGTTGTTACGTCTTGTAATAGGCTATAAAAGAGGAGGACTGCTGGGAAGAAGTTTGAGGTATAATAATTCCAATCCAATCCCACACACGGTGCACACAAACACTATGCCACACCCACTTTGAGGCCACACACAGTCCCGACTCCGTATTACCTACTAGCCTAGTTCCATGCGATCCAAAACATGATTATGATGAAAAATCAGTTGATTAGCATTCTGTTCTGCAATGCAAAGAACAATGAACTAGTTCTGGCCAACACTTCTGGGCTATCTGTATACGAAACCACGCCCTCTGCCACGCCCCCTTCCCAGCAGGCACATTCCCTCCATCTGTTGACTTACACCAGCGACTCCTTCTGCATAGGGAACAGATCCAAATGTGTTTAATAGAGCTAGGGGTGTCCTTTGTTCGGAGGGTCCTCTTTAAGAGGGACTCTACGTAAATGCGTACGGAGAAGAAAGAGAAAGGTTTACTTACTCATGTGAAAGTGTGAGGATGATGAGGACAAGGAGGAGGGGATGGAGAGGGAGGGGGAGAGGTGTCCGGGTGGTCATGGTATGAGGTTCCAGGTAAGTCAACTTGAGTGACTTCAGCTGCTAGACACGAACACGTGGCATCTGTTGGATGTCATGGCGGGATGGGTAGCCCCCTTGGTTCGTGCTGCCGACAGCGCTGTCTTTGTCTCTCACCAGACTTGCCGTTCTCACCTAAACCCCGGACTATGTCTCTCCATGTTCCATTATTTTTGCGTGTTGTGTTACAACTCCTGTAAACCCAGGGTATGATGATGATTGATTGATTGTGTCTGTTACCACGTTTTCTGCCACTAGGCGCAACGAGACAGCCAAGAAGCTATGCCAATAGGTTCGGCGATACACTGGCTTGATTTAAAACTGGTGATATTCCTAAAAATACTGCGTTCGAGAGTTATGGCGTGAAAAGCAAGTGAACAAGACAAATTAGCACAGGCTTACCCCACGACAAGATATGCTTGCTCTGCGTATATGCGTTACCTGCGTACCAAGAAGTCTCAACGGAGGGCGTGTATCGACTCCCGCATGCTTTCTACTACTGTAGCTAGCCCGTGTCAGACAATCCGCCAGCTACTAGCGGAAGACAACGAGTAAACGCATAACTACGGCCCAGCCCATCAATTAGCGGTATCGCGCTTGCGCAGTTCGCCGAGGGTTTGCACTTCAGTGTTTTTTTTTACTGTACAATGCATGTTTGTGCATTAAAATGTCACCCCTTTTCTAGGTCAAAAACGAATAGCTAGGTGGCGTCATCCTCTATTAATAATTGATTTCTGCAACCCTCGCTCATTAATGGTAAACTTCCAAATGTGACACAATTAATCTGCCATGCCAAAATCAAATTGGGTAAGTATAATTCATAAGAAAATAATTATACTGATCTATGAGAATATACTGGTTGCAGCATTTGGGTGCTGGAGCCAGTTTCAGATGCAGTTTCAGAATTAACACTAGGGCCATCATTGGTGTTGGGGCTATTAATCACCCATCGGTAGGGGGAGAAGATTAGAATTATGACGAGTGTTAAAAATCCCCATATGGCCATCACTATCCGCATGACTCTGACTCCGTAGAAAATGTTGAATTCGGCAGAATATTTGACTGTGTCGACTTGATCGATACAACGTCCATATGCTATAATAAAACCCACATACAGAACCAAAATAATCGCATGAGTTAAGGCAGCCCATCCAAAATGACACTCCTTTGCACACCAGATTGTGAATGTAAATGACATTCTGATGATAGTTAACACAAATTGAACCAAACCAGTTGCCAGAGAAATAGCATAAGCAATATTCAATGATTTTAAAAAACATATGACATCCTCGTTAGCATAATTATTACAATCGACTGGTTTACTAAAATAATAGGAATCATGAACATCAAAACACTCGTATCCCTCATTTTGTACACTCCAGTCATTGCAAGTTGTGACTTTTTGAAAGAAAGCATTATCAATGAACATGATTGCAAACCAATTGAACAATGCAATAAGCATCAGGATGTGGTATAAATGCATCCAATAACCAGATTTCAAACTAAGTGTATAGCCATCAAACACATAATATACATCTTGATTCTCTGATCTAACTTCTTCAATCTTTCGCTGAAACACAAGACTGTACAAGTAAACAAGCCAACTAGAAAAGCGACAGCGAGGACAGCGAGGACAGCGATCACAGCGATGACAGCGATCACAGCGATCACAGCGATGACAGTAATTACATTTACAAAAAAATAGTGTACTAATAGCCACAACTACAGCGACGATGCTCACAAGAATGATCCCAGTATAGAAAAGAACCTCAAGTCCAATATACTCACTCCTCGAGTTACGAAATTTCTGAACAAGGTTAGTCATGCCTTGGTGAACTGCCTTTCAAAGAGGACGGGTTGCTTGCAGCTTCACACGGCGGCGTCGTCGACTGCAGCTAGCTAGCTAGCTCCGCGCACGCGCACACTAGAATTGCGCATGCGCAATAGCTAGAACGAAGCAGGCCTCTATAGAGCTACAATGCCGGTAAACTCTGCAGTGGTGCTGGCTGAGCTCCCTCGACTAGCTCTGCAAACCACAGGCAACAATTGGATTGTGGTAAAGTACTACGGGAACCATGCATCTTTGCAATTGCCATAATTATTATTCCTTGGCAGTGAAAGCAGCTGCAGATTTACACAGCCCAAAAACCACAGAGCTGCCTGCACCAGATGGTCAGCACCCCTGAAGACAGCTATCTATCTACCCTGTGTATACTAACAACCAACCTATCCAAAACATTGAAACTTCTGATTATTATCTGATCTATGGCTAGACAGAGATCTGCAGGAATCTGCAGTAATCCCAACTTTAGCCCCCTCTCTATATAGTTACCTGTTTTGTTTGACTTTCCAATGCAGTACTTTTTTTTTATCAAGCATGTGCAGTATCTTTCAACAAAAGATCGATTGAAAAATCAGAGATTAGCATTTTGTTCTGCAATGCAATGAATGACAAACTAGTTCTGGCCAACACTTCTGGGCTCTCTGTAGACGAAGCCACGCCCCCTACCACGCCCCCTTCCCAGTAGACTCATTCCTTCCATCTGCTGACTTACACCAGCCACACCTTCTGCATGTGGGGAATCAAGGAACAGATCCAAAATGTATATATAGAGCTGTAGGGGTGTCCTTTGTTCGGAGGGTCCTTTTTAGTCCTCTTTACGTAAGTGAGTGCGGAGAAGAAAGAGAAAGGTTTACTTACTCATGTGATAGTGTGAGGATGATGAGGACGATGAGGAGGAGGGGAGGGGGGAGGGAGGGAAGGGGGAGGGAGGGGGAGAGGTAGCTCTGGATCCTGAGTAGCTAGGTCTCTTGGAGGAGAAGGAGGAAGGAGTGAAAGTTGTGTAGTCTGGCTGGTTGAGTGACTGACAGTGGGAGGGGGAAAGAGACATGTGTGATACAGTGGAACCTCTCTCTTAGGACACCCCTGAAATGAGGACACCTCTCTAATAAGGACACCTCTGAAATGAGGACACCTCTCTAATATGGACACCCCTGAAATGAGGACACCTCTCTAATAAGGACACCCTGAAATGAGGACACCTCTCTAATATGGACACCTTTTTTCCCCCAAGAACAGTTCTTGCATGCAATTAAACCCCTTAAATGGACAACACCATCTTCCATCGGTCCCACTGGTCTTAGAATTGGCTTTTGTAATTTCCAGTGCTTTGCAAATCATCCCCATCCTATATCAACCAACACAGTATGTGGATACCTGAACTGTTTTACTTCACCCTTCAAATATGGACTCCTCTCTGACACAACACTTTCATTCGTCCCGTTGGTGTTTGTAATTGCCCCACTAGTGTTTAGCATATCCTTGCATCCCATATGAAAATGTAAAACCTACACAGCACGTAGTGTGTACCTGAGGGGGGAGGTGTCCAAGAGAAAGTGAGATGTTGTACTTGGGACAGAGGGTGTCGGACAGGACGTAGCTGTATTTGTTGACCACTGCCAGGGAACAATGCCTGTTCTCTCTCTCCTCATGCCATTCACACCTGGTGGAGGGGTGGGAGGCAGAGAGACAAGGAAGGGAAAAGGGAGGCAGAGGAGGGAGGGAAGGAAGGGGCAGAGGGGAAGGGTCTAAAGTCTATTTGCACGTCCCAAAGTGGTCGTGTAAACTGTTTATACAGGGACCACATACTTTACTTATGGTATACTTTTCTTATGGGACATACAGCTAACTTTTGACTGATGAGGTTTCATGGTTAGCGAAGGATACCATCAGATGGGAAAGTTTCGAGGATCCCAATGGTGTTATCGTTTTTATAATTGGATGTAAAATTTAAAAAGTGAAAGTATTAGGGATGGTTGGTTCGTCATTTTGTTTACTCATGTCCCTGCAAGAAATGCAATATCGTTCAAACCCTTGTCATAAGGGGTGGTAATGAAGGAAATTGCTAGAAAAATGAGTGTTTAGGTACAGCGAGATAGTGTTGCTATTCCACCCTCCAACTATAGTCAAAGTACTAGGCATTGTTGGTTTGTCATTTTGTTTACTCACGTCCCTGCAAAAAATGCAAAACTGTTCAAACCCTTGTCGGGAGGGGTGGTAATTAATGGAGGAAAAGGCGAGATAAATAGGTGTATAGGTACATCGAGATAGACTTTAAGACTCAGGTGAAGTCAAATCGACTTCAAGTCTCACACCACACACAGTGTATACCTGGTGCCCATGGAATGGTCATATACAGTTGTGCCGAGGAAATCCTTTGCCTGGTGGATGGTGGGTCCTCTGCCGTCTGTGTGACTGGACAGCTCGCAGAGGAGGGCCTCCACCTCGTACACCCGGTCCAACCGGTTTCTGATTCCCGCTTTACTGGCCAGCCACTCCAGACACCACTCCACTCTCAGGGCATTGTCACGCTGTGTGTGTGTGTTTAGGTTTAGGTAAGGATGAGAGGGAGATGGTGCAAGTTAAAGATAAGATACCACCAAGCGGCAATTTTGAGGGTGTGAATTTGATTAGCTCTCCGTAAAATTTTCAGACATGTCATTATTTAAACCAGAAAACTGAGAAAGTTTTCAGCAAGTTCTGCAATTCATTAAGACAGTGGGGATAAAAACTTGACTCTCAACTCACACTAGCAAAGAGAGCGGGGATGTCCCTGCTACCCTCGGGACTAATGAAGCTCTCCACCTCCCACACCAGCTGGCGGTAGTCGTCCATTGCCTGGTCGAAACCTGATATCGGGATCTCGTGCGTCGCCTCACTGCACCGCTGAGCCTCGTACCTGTACCCCAGTGGGAGGGGCCCTGGATAGATTGACCACACCCACCAATTAATCAGTTAGCATTACTCTTGTGGCAAACATAATAGTCAGTCAATACCATACAAGAAAGCTTCTGCGAAAAAATTTTAATGTTGAGTGCCAACAAACATCAATCTATAGCTATATATAATAAATTTCGCAAATGATTAAAAACAAGATTGAAGGCCATTGTGCAGCTGACCCAATTGACGGCACGATTTCAGACAAAATTTATGTTGAGGCAACAAGTTTATTAAACGGTACTTATTCTAAATATCAATCTGTTCTCACCAGGGGCGATGAATCTGTGGAAGGTGCGACATATCCCAGAATGGAGGGTGAAATCCACGAGAGCTATCTCGCACGGCTGGTATCTGGCGTGGGGTTTGTCGCTTATTTCGCAGAGCGACTGAATGTCGATCAAGAAGAAGTTGGTCAGCATTACGGCACTGCCGGAAGTGAGGGAGGCCTTTATCATGGCTCTCTCTCTGTGTCGCCGTTCTTCCAGTTCCACTGCCAAGTCTCGTCTCTCCTGAGCGAGGAGGGTAGAGGAGGGGAGGAAGGAGGGGAGGGAGGAAGAGAAAAAAAGATAAGAGAAGTGCATTTAGAGACATTCTGCAAGGCATATGTAAATTCACGGCTGCAGGTTTTGCACACAACATGTGGAAAGTAACGTCGCGAAATTGATTTTCATGGACTTGGTTTTGGTTAGAACACACAAACTTCGCTTTTCAGAAAAAATTTGTGCCTTTCACAAAATAGAGGAGATTAGCTAGTAAAAACAGCGAAAAAAAAGAAGAGCTAGCAAAAATGAAGACAGACTTTCAACAAGGGACAGCTCACAAAACGAAAACCCAACGGCAAAGAGGTCAGAGTACGCAATAATCACCACGTGGGCAGCTATATAGCACAGCTGCTATACTCACGGACAGAAGTTCTCCGGTGCAGTCCATGACGCCTTGTCGAGGCGATACGTACATGACCTCGGATCCGACCCCTCCCCTCTTCTCCGCTTTGGCCCGCGCGTTGTACATTGCCTTCTCCATCGCGGGGAGCTTGGCCCATTTCGGTCCAGCTAGCACGGGCATGTCCCGCATTGGAACGGAGCGTCCTTGCTCGCGGAGGTCCGTCTGCATGTCACGCATAAACAGGGCGAACCCGTTTGCTTGCTGCTTCTTCCTGCTCATGGCTGGCCCACCTTGAAGCTCTCGCTTTTTGTTGACAATCGATATAAACGGGTGGGCGTGGTTTTCGCTCACGTGCGGTACTAACTGCGCATGCGTAGTAGGTCAGTTCTCTCGTGGTGGTGCGTTTGTCAATCCAGGACACAATGAGGTACGTGAAGTAAAAAGTGAAGGTCGTTTTTTAGTGTTATGTTGTATGTGTGTGGCGTTTTAACCAACCCCGTTATTATCATACCGTATCATATCACTACATGTTCGTGGTACAGCTGTAGGTTGCGCGCGTCGGTTTTTCCCGCCGAATCTTTATCTTATGCCATGGTGGTCAGTATTCCTTTTGAATAAAAAATCACGTTTCATTCTGATATGTCTGCCACATCGAACTGTCCATATCTGAAGGGAAGGGATATAGTTTACTCCATTTAGTGAGCACCCCACTACACAGCTTTATAAGTACACCTCCTATCTCTTCTCACTCCCTGCTGTAGCACACTGCGGCTGCAGAAGAGGCTAGCGGCCTCAGTCCTCAAATGTGGGCAGCGGAAGATCTGGTTGGATCCAAACGAGACGACAGAGATAGCCAACGCCAATTCTCGTCAGAACGTGAGGAAACTGGTGAAGGATGGACTCATAATCAGGAAGCCCCATGTGATCCACTCGCGATCTCGCGTCCGGAGAGCTCTCGAGGCCAAGAGAAAAGGAAGGCATTCCGGTGGGTTGACTAAAATTGAGGCAGGAGGCAGTGTGTGGCCTTAAAATGTTGAGGGACGGGCGGCAAAATTTTTTTAAGGACTTGGCGGGAAGGACAGGCCAACCGATCAGTCTGATTTCCTTGACTGTAGCTGGAGAGTGCAGTGAGAATAACCCACGTGCACGAAGTAGAAAAATAAAAATAGTTGAAGTGGGCCTGTAAATTTAGTCTAAATAACATGTTCTGTGTACGTTTGCTAGTGTGCATGTGTGTATATAAAATAATCGCTCTTCTTGCTGGTGTTGCTAAGGTTACGGGAAGAGAAGAGGGACAGCGAACGCCCGAATGCCGGAGAAGGTCATCTGGATGAGAAGAATGAGGACGCTGCGACGCCTGCTCCGCAAGTACAGGGATTCCAAGAAGATTGACTGCCACTTGTGAGTTCACTTTGTAGCCTTGCTAGTTGCTACCTATTTAAAAAGTGCTGCAACATAGCCTCTTTCTCATGTCAATATTTGAGGAAGTAGCCGCAGTATCTACAGAATGTTTGAATCCCACCCAGGGCACCTCTTCTTCTTTTCTTTGAAAAGAAAGAGCTGTCCTGGGTGTAGTTTGCCTTGCCTTGCCTTTCTATCTCGTTACCAAGTTGTTGAGACATGCGTGCACCAAATAGTAAATTCTCTGGATGATGTGTTGTAAGTCAACCCCACGTTTCTAGGCAGTTGAAAGAGCAACGTAAATGGCAGTCAATGGTTTACATTTCACTTTCTTATTTTGTGTGAGATTTATCGCTCACTCCCTCCCTCCTCCCCCTCTGCCCACCCCTCACTCACTCCCTCCCCCTCTGCCCACACCAGGTACCACAGGCTGTATCTGCAGGTGAAGGGAAACGTGTTCAAGAACAAGAGAGTCCTAATGGAACACATTCACAAGAAGAAGGCCGAGAACCTCAGAGTCAAGCAACTGGCGTATGTGTTCTCTCTCTCCTTCTCCTCTATCTCCTCTGTCTCTTTCTCCCCTTTTCCTGCTCCCCCCGTCTTTGATTGCTAATGAGCTTTCCAACAGTTACTAGCGCCCACGGCTAACTAACAGTGTAGTTGGTACACTGAGTAGGTCTACTAGTCATCTGAATTGCTTGATTTGACTTTGCCACACACTTCACCATTGTATATGTGTGAACATCACAACTCCCATGATCTACACCGTATTGCATGCATCTGGTCTGTATGTAGTGCATTGATATGTAGTCATGTACCAGGTTAACCTCAACTTGTTGTCGTATACAGTGACCAGGCAGAAGCTCGTCGTAACAAGTCCAAGCTGAGCCGGCAGAGGCGGGAGGAGAGACAAAAGGCCAAACAGGAAGAATTGAAGCGCCAGTATGCAGAGGAACAAGCGAAATAGACCTTCCTGTGATTTTTAGTCTATTCCCATGACTAGAATTATGCCGCGTCGATTTCTCTGTACAATATTATTATGTCAATACGTCACTTTCGGTGGCTTTTGTTCGTGGGGCCGGGGGAGGGTCGAAATGCGTTGCAAACAATGTGCGCATGCGCAGTGCGCTCACGCGTGACATGACGTGCTTAGTAGTTAGTGGGCGCGACGGTTGCTGGCCCGGAGTAGCAGTAGTGCAAGCAGAATATGGCCCAGCCGTTACCAAGGCCAAGAGTGAGAGTTCCAGCAGCCGCAGCGCTCCAAGGACCCGTGCAGGACCATGACATATTGCTGTTACACGGAGTCGAACTCGGCGAGGAGGTCGGGAACGGAGCGTATGCGGAGGTACGCAAGGCCAGCGTCCCGTGCGCGGCCAAAATCCTACACGACGTTCTGGCCAGGACACCGCTCTTTCCTGGACGACACAACGAGAGGCGGGAACCGCGGAACCGCTTCGCGCAGGAGTGCCGCGTGCTCTGGAGCTGCACCCATCCCAATATCGTCCGGTTTTACGGCATGTCGTCCCATCCGGAAACGGGACGGACCGTATTACTGATGGAGCTCATGACCGAAACGCTTACCGCATTTCTAGAAGTACGTCACAAATGCACAGCCGTGCCTTACTACCTTCAGCTGAACATAAGCCACAACATAGCCAGTGGAGTAAGATACCTTCATTCGAGAGGCATAGTCCACAGAGATTTATCCAGTAACAATGTCCTACTCTCGAGCCCACCGCAGTTTACTGCAAAGATTTCGGATTTTGGAGTGAGCCTTTTGAAAGACGGACAAAAGGAGTCATCCCTGACGCACACTAGATGCCCAGGAACACCAGTTTACATGCCTCCAGAGGCACTAATGCCAGGTTCGGTCCCAAATCCCACGGAGAAGATGGACTCATTTCAAATGGGCGTCCTCATGCTCCAGATCGCCACGAAACTCTTTCCCTATCCAACAAAAGATTTTACAAAGAGAGATGAAAACGTGCTCTCCTACAAGGTGGTCCCGGAGTGGAAACGACGCGAATCGCACATCGAAATTCTCCGCAAAGTTGAGCACCCGCTGCTCGACCACCCCATCCTAGAATGTCTCGAAAACAGAGAAGACAAGCGACCGAGTGCTGAACTTATTTTAGAGCAGCTTTCTGCGCTGATGGGTGACAAGAGGTACCTGGAGAACTGCGAAAAGGCGGGAGTTCTGCCGCGAAAGCCGGCGGAAGAGGAAAATACCGACAAAGGTTTACGGATTTTGAAGGAAACGGTTTCAGCGTTGAGAGAGGAAAACGAGAGCCTGCGCGATTTGCTAGAGAGGGAAAAGGAGATGGCGGAGAGGGAGCGGGGTAGGAATTTAGCAGACAGGAATCGGCTGCAGCAGGAGGCACAAGGAAGGCAGGCACTACAGGCGGAGCAGGGGAGGGTTCGAACATTGGAGTATGAACTACAGTGCCTGAGAGCTCAACAAGTGGGAGACAAGGACAACCTGCAAGGCCAGGAGAGGTTGTGCACTCAACTGCAGCAAAGAATGGTATCTGTGGAAGAGGAAAACAAGAGATTGAGGCAGATACACAGCCAACAAGAGAGCGAGATTCGCACACTGGGTCAGAGAAGAAATGATCAACTGGTTCAGTACAACAGTCAGCTAGTCCAGCAACTAGAGCATCAGACAAGGCTGCAGACAGCTCAGGCGCAGGAATGTGAACGATTGAAGCAGCAGCTACAGCAGCAAGCGATAGCGAGAACGGCTCTAGCCCAGGAAAATGAACGCCTGGCGCAGCAGCTAGCTCACTACAATGGCCAATTACAGGAGCAGATTAGAGCCAGTACAGCCCTGGCCCTGGAAAACGAGCAACTGACAAAGCAAGTAGAACGCCTGCGAGCTAACCAATCTTTGTTTCAAGAGCCGAGATGTCACGTCGTTGCCTTTCCAAAGAAACCGACTACGGTCGGTCGCAGTTGCACGATCAAATTAGAGGCATGCGACCTCGCAGGGAACCCAGGGTTGCTGTCTCAAAATGACCCAATCTCGGCTTTCCTTGTCGGTTCGACCCCCAACCCCATCCAGTGTACCGTTGCAACCCACGAAAAAAGTTTCGAGATTTCGTTCACACCCACACATTCGGGGCGGTATTCTCTCGCTGTTCGACTCGGTAGAGCCAGGCCACAGGAGAAGTTGGCCTTTCTCTGCGTGTACCCTGACCCCGAATGCCCCCTCACTCCGCGGGCTTTCATTGGGACTAGAGAGAGACCGCTCAAGAAGCCGTGCAGTTTGACGATAAACAATCGTCGCGAAGTGCTCGTGTGCGAGCAAACCGGAAATCTTGTGTCAGTTTTCGATATCGCAAACCCGCAACGAATGAAGAGGATGATTGGGGAAGGGAGAGTGGACCAGCCGACTGGTGTAGCCGTTGACAATGAAACTGGCGATGTGTACGTCACCAGTCGTCACAAGCTACAGAAGTTCAGCGGTGAAACGGGTGACCTTCTGAACCAAGTAGGACACGAGGCGCGGGAAAGAAATGACGAGGGGGGAGACGCAAATGACGAGTTTCGGTACCCGCACAGTGTGACGTGTCACCGTGGCGAGGTTTTCGTCGCCGACCAGAAGAACGGGCGTGTCCAGGTATTTAATGCGAACTTGGCGTACCTTCGGACTGTTGCCCACGGCGACAGCAATTCGTTCAACGACCCTAGCGACGTGGCATTTGACGAGCACGGACGGATGTACGTTGCCGAGTACGGTGCGGGAAAAATTCAAGTTTTTTCGGCTCAACAAGGAAATGAAAAACAGGGAAAATGTCTGCAGACGATAAATAGAAACGAATGTGACATGAAACCGAGCTCAATTCACGTCGTTAACGACCATCTCTACGTCTCGGATTTAAAACGATCGGTCGTTGATGTGTTCTGCACCTCTGGGGAGTTCGTGAGGTCACTAGGTTGCCGTGGTTACGGGGAAGGGGAGTGGTACGTGCCACAAGGCATAGCGTCTGCCGAAGGGAAAATATTTGTCTGCGGTAGCGAAGATGGACATGTTCACATTATTTAGGCTCTTTCTGGTAACAAAAAAATAAACTTTTTTCTTTTTGTAAGCATATGAGAACTGCTATAATTTTTGTAAATTGCCAACTGGGATACAAAAAAACTACAGTAATGAGAGCAATTTACGAACAAGTGTATGCTCAATAATATATACGTGCTTACAAAGAACAAGAAAAATCGCTGGGCTATAAGAGATATTGCTATGGATTATAAAGAGTGATTATACTGGAGTGACTTTCAGGACTTGCAGGTTTGCGATGATGTCAGCGCCGCTGTGCGACTGGGAATTGTTGCGATTTCGTTTGAGGCTGCCTAGAATTATGGAGGCAATACTGGAGATAGAGCTGCTGATGGAGCTGCCTGAGAATAGGAGGATAGAAGGAAAAAGAGCAGTGTACACTTACTACAATTTTAGGACAAGCAAATCCATCGGCAAAATCCACGTTTAACAGTACATAGTGTAAACCAAAGAGTTTCCCCCCTCCCTCCTCTCATCTTACTTCCTTTCTCTATCCTTCTCTCTCTTCTTCCTCAATCCTTCCCTCTCCTCCCTCTCTCCTTTCCCTCTCCTCCCTCTCTCTTCTCCCTCTCTCTTCCCCTCTCCTCCCTCTCTCCTCCCTCTCTCCTTCCTCTATCTTTCCCTCTCCTCCCTCTCTCCTCCCTCTCTTCTTCCTCCATCCTTCCCTCTCCTCCCTCTCTCCTTTCTCTCTCCTCCCTACCTTTTTTCTCACTGAAGGAGCCTCCTCTGTTAGGAACATGGTCCGTTCCCTCGTCCCATCTCCTCACGACGTAGACAGGTCGACCGCGAGTGATGTCATACGTGGCACTGCGTCTTGACTTTCTCACACAGTAACAGCAGCAGATGATAGAGAGAATCACTATTATTGCCAGCAGGATACCGCCTCCTGCTGCAATCGCTGCAGAAGAGAGAGATGAGGGGAGAGGATGGAACAGAAATTATGGAAGGTTCATGGAGGAAACCTTCATACTGAAAAAGAATTCTAGTTAACAATGGGGGTTCCTTTTACAGAGGATAATAATTATTCAGATTGGCGAAAAGCCAATCCACTGATGATGTGTACACATTTAGGCTTACAGGGGTGAATGGTTACATAACTATACATTCAAGTTTTACTGTACTAGAGAGAATGCAACACATGCGAGCAGATTGATTTTCACGCATTTCATGTGTATTAATTTATACAACCTTACGGTATGTGCAGTATATACCCAACATTAAATATCCTACATTCAGACGACTAGGCAGCAGCTCGCTTTACTCACCAATAAGAGGTGAGAATAGTGAAGTATTGTACTTACCAATGATGGGACCAGTTCCAAGGATTGGTTCAGACGTGGGATCTGTTGTGATAGGAGGCTGAGCTGTTGGCTGAACGGACAGAGAGAGAGGCGAGAAGAGAAAGGAGGGAAGGAGAAGAAGAAATGATTATCTTGTTGTCAGTACAAATTCCTCACAATATGGGCAGTGAACACACGTCCCCCGGCCCATCACGTTTGCGGTGTTGTCTATATATTCATGTCTATGAGTCATGCTTACCGCCCCCTAGTTCAACTCATGACCGTTCAATACACTCACATTAGAGCCTCTTATGACTGTATGTTGATGCACTAGCTAGAGGAGACCAATAAATTGCATCACATGTGTGCAAATAGTTAGTTAGACATCGAGATTTAATCAGATTGCGTGAAACATGGAGTAGGCTAGTTATATAATTATAGGTTCACGATGCATTTTGCATTGCCCTATCATCCTCTTTGCCTTATTGCCATGAGGATTCTATCTTTATGTGACACAATGGTACTCAACATTATTATTGAGACGCGGGGCAATGCGATGTATAGCTAACCTTGCCTAATTAAGGATGTGAAGATTCAACAAATCATGTGTCTTACTGGAGTTGTGGGTGTCTCCATGGGAGCAATGGAGATTGTTTCCATGACGGCTGATGATGTCATAGAAGTTACTGTTTCGACTGGAGAGGCTGATGGCAACATTGTTGAAGTGGGTACCACCATTTGTGAAGAGGAGGAGGGAGAGGGAGAAGAGGAGGGAGATGGAGAGGGAGAAGAGGGAGAGGGAGAGGGAAAAGAGGAGGGAGAGGGAGAGGAGGAGGGAGAGGGAGAAGAGAAGGAGGGAGAGGGAGAGGGAAAAGAGGAGGGAGAGGGAGAAGAGGAGGAGGGAGAGAGAAAGAAAGATGAAGAAGCAGGAGCATGAAGGACATAGAGATGGATTGCGTCATTGTAAACATCTCAGAAGGCATCATCCCTGAACCAACTGTCATGGACACCATCGGCACAAACGATTCTGTCGCTGTAGCCACGATTTCGGGATCCAAACTGCTTGTCATGTTCTCTGACTGGGTGTGGCCAAGAGATATTGCCTTGGCGACCAATGCTAGTATGACTGTGGCGGGTAGGTGGGTGTGTCGGTGGGTTGTCATGGTAACTCCGCTAGTAGATACTGTGGCAAAGGGGGATGAGTGAAAAAACAAGTCGCTTTCACTGTATAATCACCTAGGGTCATGTGATGATAATGTCCATCACATGAATACCACTACTGCAGCATTGCAAGCATACTATAAAAAATTGTCATACATACACACAGTATATATGTTTTATTGCGTATGAATGTCAGGGAGGAAGAGGTTATGTGTGGGGTATGTGCATGTGTGTACTGATGGTAATGAATACGTCTTTGCGTGGAGTTGTGCTGCACTATACATACTATAGCATGTGGAGATAGGGCTATATTATACCTCCATTGAGATACTATGTGCCAAGCCCACATCAGTCAATGTATGTATACACTATAATATTGCCAACACAGCATGTGAAGCTATGCTGGGGGATTTGTACAAGTGTCTGTTTATCCATTGTTGAATGATTTCTTGTTGGTTTCTCTCTGATCAGACAATTGCCAGTGTATAATGTTTCTTCATCGTCCCATAGAAACCTTCCTGGGTGTGCTTCAGAGTGTGCTAGACATAGTGAGATACTTAAGGGTTAAATACATAGCTAGACACCCAAGGTGTGCTAAGGGTTAAGTACATCAGGCTAGCTAAGGGTAATACCAGAGTGTGCTAAGGGTTGCTAGACACCCGAGGTGTGCTGAGGGTTAACACCAAGGTGTGCTAAGGGTTAAAGTTTCCGCTCAATGGTGTGCTAAGACCAAAAGTCTTACACACTGAAACAAGAAATTGAGAGGTTTTTATGGCATACTGACCGTAATAAACACATTCTTGTAGCAAGCTAGTGAAACTATGGGAACAATGTGGAACAGGCACATTCCACCTACTACTACCTACTACACTGCTACTAATCACATGACATTTTTGCCTTTGCAAATATCTAGCTACTAATAGACTGCACAATATGTATGGTAACACCAACTAATGCACATGGGACCGCTTTTGTCCTGGATTAGTAGCTTATATATAATATGGTGCTTTAGGCTACGACTGCAAGACTCTATGCCTACTTTTAACTCCGAATGAACCCACATGTTGTCTCTGATACCTGTGTCGAAAGATACGTGCAAAGACCTGCGTAAGAGCTCTCTAAGTATAGGGTTTTTCATAATGCTGCATATCTGTTGTCAGTCTGAGTGTCAGCAACACAGTAGACGAGAGGTTGGCAACACCAACAAACCCCAACTGTTCACCATTAAACTTCCTGTACTCACTGCCCTCACATTGCCTTAGACGGCTCAGTTTGTCAATACACCACCCACTCACCCATAGTTTATATGGCCTTGACCAGGGTTTATATGGCCTTTACCTGGACTCATATGGTAGGAGTTTATACGTAAACACTGTGCTCTATGGCAGGTTGTATGGGGAAATAGTGTTTAACAACTCATAAATATGGCACTTCTCATTGTGTTAAGATGCAAGAGGTAATACATACAATGTGGTTTATGGATATAATTATACTGACGGTGTTATGGTGCTTGTTGACGCATGAGTGTGTGATAAACCACTTAGACATGTGTGCTACGTGAATGCTAGTGTAGTATTGAATGTCGGTCATAGCATTGTGTTGTGCCACACCCTAGCTGTGCAGTGAATAGCCATGGTATCGTGCATCCTACTGCAGTATACTCACAATGCAATAAAGCCACTAAGGTTATGGGGAAAAGTGCAAAAAAAGTTATAAGATTCTTGCCATGAATTAAAGGCAAGAGAAGTGTTAAAAAATTAAAAAGTAAAGGAAAGAAAAAGGCAAAAAGATAGTGACCACGACGTGATTCGAACACGCAACCTTCTGATCTGGAGTCAGACGCGCTACCATTGCGCCACGCAGTCATCTGACGGTGCCTTGTCCAATATTCTACTAGTCAACGCGTGCATTATTTCACACGCATGACGATGCACCTATACCACAAGGAAAGGTATATACATACGTAGATGGTCCTAAGGGGAGACGTTGGCACTAGCTGCTTCTACTAGTATCAAGCAAACCACAAGGGAGTGTTGTTTTGTTCACCGTAGCTTCAGAGAAATATGTTGTCTGTCACGTACGTGTGCCTTGGAGCCAAAATTCCGACTGCTGCTCACATCTAGGAACGCGTCTCTTTTGTCACAGTGTATAAAAGGTGGTGGAGTGTGTATAATTGCGTTGGGAGGGAAGTGAGGCAAGAAGTCATGACAACAAGTCAATACAATCTTTTACAAGTCCCGCAGGCGCCTCTGGCGAGTGGGAGAGGGAGGGGGAGGAGAAGGGGAGCGGGGAGAGTTGGGGGGAAATGGTGAAATAAGTACAGGAAGATAGTGATTGCAGAACCAATTGGTCCATTAGTTAGAGTGTCCTGTACATATGCCTATCACATTGCTTCACCCCACTTGAAGTCTGATATAATAGATTCCTGTGACCTTTCAGAGGAAGCCAATAGCCTCAGAAGTAAACCAAGCAGACTGCACGTGGCAACTAATAAGTCAACTAAGGAAAAATGAAGAGCTGCCCTGGGTGGGATTCAAATCCGAGACACTCTGCTTTCTAGGTGAGCGCTCTACCATCTGAGCTACGTACCAGCAACTTTCTCCACTGGCTCTACACATAAAGTACATATAGGTTTGGTGGTATGATTATGGTGTTATGCTGGGAAATGGTTATTCAGGTGTGTAAAACGTACAAAGTTGGACTTCCCCAAATTCGCCCAGCGATACAGCAAGGACTAACATGGTAGGCCTTAGCTTGGCAGAGATGCAGTCTTAACATTATTAGAGACGCCAGAAATGCTTGCATTGCATGAGTAGCCATCCCCTCAACAATGGTACTGTGGTGGTTGTATAGGG